GGACAACAGTATGAGACAGGAGAGGACACCACCAGTGTCACACCAGCCAGTGTCAGACACTGTACCTCTCTCCACAACCCAGCCACAGGACAACAGTATGAGACAGGAGAGGACACCACCAGTGTCACACCAGCCCGTGTCAGACAATGTACCTCTCTCCCCAGCCCAGCCACAGGACAACAGTATGAGACAGGAGAGGACACCACCAGTGTCACACCAGCCCGTGTCAGACAATGTACCTCTCTCCCCAGCCCAGCCACAGGACAACAGTATGAGACAGGAGAGGACACCACCAGTGTCACACCAGCCAGTGTCAGACACTGTACCTCTCTCCACAACCCAGCCACAGGACAACAGTATGAGACAGGAGAGGACACCACCAGTGTCACACCAGCCAGTGTCAGACAATGCACCTCTCTCCCCAGCCCAGCCACAGGACAACAGTATGAGACAGGAGAGGACACCACCAGTGTCACACCAGCCAGTGTCAGACACTGTACCTCTCTCCACAACCCAGCCACAGGACAACAGTATGAGACAGGAGAGGACACCACCAGTGTCACACCAGTCAGTGTCAGACGCTGTACCTCTCTCCACAGCCCAGCCACAGGACAACAGTATGAGACAGGAGAGGACACCACCAGTGTCACACCAGCCAGTGTCAGACACTGTACCTCTCTCCACAGCCCAGCCACAGGATAACAGTATGAGACAGGAGAGGACACCACCAGTGTCACACCAGCCAGTGTCAGACAATGTACCTCTCTCCACAGCCCAGCCACAGGACAACAGTATGAGACAGGAGAGGACACCAACAGTGTCACACCAGCCAGTGTCAGACACTGTACCTCTCTCCACAGCCCAGCCACAGGACAACAGTATGAGACAGGAGAGGACACCACCAGTGTCACACCAGCCAGTGTCAGACACTGTACCTCTCTCCACAGCCCAGCCACAGGATAACAGTATGAGACAGGAGAGGACACCACCAGTGTCACACCAGTCAGTGTCAGACACTGTACCTCTCTCCACAGCCCAGCCACAGGACAACAGTATGAGACAGGAGAGGACACCACCAGTGTCACACCAGCCAGTGTCAGACAATGTACCTCTCTCCACAACCCAGCCACAGGACAACAGTATGAGACAGGAGAGGACACCACCAGTGTCACACCAGCCAGTGTCAGACAATGTACCTCTCTCCACAACCCAGCCACAGGACAACAGTATGAGATAGGAGAGGACACCACCAGTCACACACCAGCCAGTGTCAGACTCTGCACATCTTCCAAAATTCAAGATAATGCAGACAGACCACTTTCCTACAGCATATGGAGTAGTAACGGCAATGGAAAAAGAACAACCAGAGCTCAAACTTTCCATTACAATTAACCTGAAAGGAGAAAAAATAATGACGCCACAAGACCATCAGACTGCAAATTACTTAGAAAAAGTAAGAGTCCTGCAAGGGAAACCTGTATGCTTGGAAAAGCTGGACCCTTCAGAAAGACGAACACGGGTCGTGCTTCTGTAACACTTCGACACAGAACAGGCAGCAGACTACGACCGCATCCAGCTACAACGCTCTCCTTCCCCATCGAGTTTAGACACTCACAATTCCCCATCGAGCCACCACGCTCTCCCACATAGAGCTCCGCGACTCCGGCCACACTCAGCTCTCTGCTCTGCTCCAGGCTTCGTCTCAACGTCTACGACACTGCTGTATCCAGGACTACTAAATAAATATGAAACTCACTAAACACTGTGTATCTAATCTACCCAACAACGTAACATAACCGTACGTTACATTGGTTCGTGCCACCCACCCACTCATCTACCCCACCCACTCATCTACCTAGCCCTTCGAACCACTTATCTACCCAGCCCTCCCACCCACTCATCTACCCAGCCCTCCCACCCACTCATCTACCCAGCCCTGAGCAGTGTCATGGCTGCGGAGCTACAGACCGCCAGATAACATCATGACCGGAATTGCTTAATTCAGACTCCTGAAAACACGTCACATCTAGCTAGCTGAGTCTTTGTGAAGCCTCTCATGAGATATAACTCGCTGGTTATATTTTGTGAGCACTGAGTGTTTTAATGTCTTAAATTGATCAATACATAACTCATGTTTATCATGATTTGTTTGATTATTAAATTTTTTGATAATTAGTGAGTACAAATAATAATAATAATAATAATAATCTTTATTTAGGTAAGGTACATACATAAAGAGATTTACAAAGTTTGTTGGCTTTATAGATAGAGCTAGAGCTAGCGAGCTACAAACACGAAATACTTAATCGTGCGGCTTTTTTTTTAAGAACAGGATTGGTATATAAAAGAAACTGAACGTACATTTAGTGTGTGTGTAGAATATATAAGACGGGGGTACATGGTAGAAGGCGGGGAGGCAGGTAGGTACACACTTGCCCAAACGCGGCATGTCATTAGATTTTCCCAGAATATTATTTCATTCTGAGTGCCTCTGCGCGTGTCTCCACAAGTGACAAATAATATATAATTATTGTCCCAACTCACTGGCAGAACATCGGTACATCCATCGATGTAGATGTGAAATTAACTCATTTCCTGCTTCTCTGTTTATTTCCTTGAGGTATATATGTCTCATTTTTTGAGTAACAAGATGACTTCTTCACTTCCAGCTCATATATTTATTTATTTATTTATTTATTTATTTGTATACAAGGAGGTACATTGGGTTAGAGACAATTCATAGCATAGTATTTACAATCTTGTAAAGCCACTAGTACGCGCAGCGTTTCGGGCAGGTCCTTAATCTAACAGATAATTTTAAGTAGGTAAATTCTATCAGAATTAATAAAATGATAACAAATACATTGCAAGAAAAAAATGAGATGAGAGAGATTAGTAAGTATATTAAAGCACATCGGTATATTAAAGCTCTGATTGATTACATTGACAACTTGATTGGTAATTTAAACAAGATTAATAGACACCATACAGCAGATTGATAGCGCATATAAGAAGACAGCAATGATCACAATGGTAAAGTTGTTTAGATTAGGTACATAAAGATTGGGTGATTGGGTAGCAATAGATACAGTGTAATTTTAAAGCAACAAGGTAGGAAACTATGAAGATAAAATTAGGTACTTTTTAGTTTTCTTTTTGAATGACGCAAAAGTTGGACAGCTTTTCAACTCATTAGGGAGTGAGTTCCATAGACTGGGTCCCTTTATTTGCATAGAGTGTTTACACAGATTAAGTTAAGGATATTATAATCCTACCATGGTTGTTCCTGCCAGGGAAGTGACATCTTACAGTCATCAACTCCCTGTGCTTGCTCAAGCTGGCGGAGGTCTTCCAGAAAGCATATACTGACCGATCTTCCAACTCTGAACTATTTCTTCCTATAATCAGTGCAAATTCGTGTTTTCTTGTGAATGTGAATGCAGTAGGGGAGACTCTGTTATCTTAATAACAGTCTAAACATTCAGTTCCAAGTCTTTAAGGCTAGAAATAATAGCAGGTTCCATACTGTGTACAAATGCTTGTACTCGTGTCAGTGGAGGGAAGTAGCACCCAGTAATCACTGCAGAAACATCTATATCTTCTCCGTTTATGTCTGGTTCCCAAACAGGGGGCTATGACCCCCCCTGGAGGGCCTTTGTGTTGTATTTAGGGGGTCCATAAGTTGAGACAGTGTGCAGGTTACGCTATCAGAGGATATCACATGGGGGCCATTAATACACCTACGAGAGGATATCACATGGGGTCCATTAATACAGCTACCAGACGAGGCCCCGGAGGGTAGAAACAGCCTAAGCTACTCTTTTTCAGACGTATTTCATTCACTCTATAAACTTACTTGAACTTGAATTAGACACGGGCCCATTATTGTTGGGGTAGAGGGAGGGTGAATTAATAAAGACGCTTATATGAAAATGGATAATGGGTGTATAAAGAGTTTTGGAATCACAGGTTCAGCACCAGTGCGTAGCCTAGTCTCCTGAGGTGTAATGGCTGCCCATCACCCAGGAAACCTAATATTTCCACTTTCTCCAACGTATGGGGACAAGTTGTGTCCATTGGGTAGAACCCTACAGTGGATAGAACCTATCTACTGTAGTTGTGTTGATCACATCATCAAGGAGTTAAGGGGCCAGATTCACGAAAGCCGTTACGCAAAGTACTTACGAACGTGTACATCTTTCCCAATCTTTGACGGCTTTGGTTACATTTATTAAACAGTTTACAAACATGAAAACTTCCCAATCAACTGTCGTTATTGTTATGAACATCCTCCTGGTGCTTCGGAGCTCATTAACAGTTTAATAATTTGAAACAAAGCCGCCAAAGATTGAGAAAAGATGTACAGGTATTTAAGTGCTTTCGTGAATCTGGCCCCTGGTGCTTGATATTAAGCTCCTGGGTCAGTAAAAAGATAATTAATGTCCTCACTCCCATATACTGGTAATGTGCCACGGACACGTACATGCTATGACACATATGGTAGTTCTACAACAACCACAACTACTTCTACTGCTGCTGAGAATCACAAACAAGGGAAGAATTCCCTAGATATCCCAAGAAAAGCCCAGCCATTTCCTGCGTCAATATATATACCCCTCAACATGTACGTTGCTACCTAACATTGATGCAACCGCTTATAATGGCTATTAACAAGACTCATCAATGCCCAATTGACAACCCATTAGGCAATATCAATCCCAGAAGATGGTTGATGACGTACCAATTCAATCATCAATACTGCCTTAGGCAATCACGAATGAGTTAAGGAAAATATATTGATGCAACTCCAACTTGTTTTTTTAAATTATATTCACCCACAAAATCGCCTGCAAGAAGTCCAAGAAGTAAAGACTTATGGGATTAACTTTTATATAATCACACGACGTCACAGGCAGTATATTCCGAACCAATTGCGAAATTGGTAATAGTTTTAGTTGCCGGAATTGGGGAGAACCGAGGTTATAAAAGGCGGTGTTGCCGGCAGCTCCTTCAGTCGCCCCTCAGCCGCCGAGAAGGTAGGTTGTTACAGCTCCTTCTCCTCCTCAAATATCTATTAATATCCCTTATATATGAGCTCTATAGTAATATATCTTATATCTTAAGGGTTAAATATTCCCTCAGTATCCATAGGTCTAATTTTAATTAAGGAATTTTATCCGAAATAGTGTTTTTTTGTCTTAATTTTCTCCGTGTCATTTGATCAGGTTGTGTACTCACCTAGTTGTGCTTGCGGGGGTTGAGCTCTGGCTCTTTGGTCCCGCCTCTCAACTGTCAATCAACTGGTGTACAGATTCCTGAGCCTATTGGGCTCTATCATATCTACATTTGAAACTGTGTATGGAGTCAGCCTCCACCACATCACTGCCTAATGCATTCCATCTGTTAACTACTCTGACACTGAAAAAAATTTCTAATGTCTCTGTGGCTCATTTGGGTACTCAGTTTCCACCTGTGTCCCCTTGTTCGTGTCCCACCCGTGCTAAATAGTTTGTCTTTGTCCACCCTGTCAATTCCTCTGAGAATTTTGTAGGTGGTTATCATGTCTCCCCTTACTCTTCTGTCTTCCAGGGACGTGAGGTTTAGCTCCCTTAGCCTTTCCTCGTAGCTCATACCTCTCAGTTCTGGGACTAGTCTGGTGGCATACCTCTGAATCTTCTCTAACTTTGTCTTGTGTTTAACTAGGTATGGACTCCAGGCTGGAGCTGCATACTCCAGGATTGGTCTGACATAAGTGGTATACAGGGTCCTGAACGATTCCTTACACAAGTTTCTAAAGGCAGTTCTTATGTTGGCCAGTCTAGCATATGCCGCTGATGATATCCTTTTGATGTGGGTCTCTGGGGACAGGTTCGGTGTGATATCAACCCCCAGATCTTTCTCTCTATTTGACTCTTGCAGGATTTCACCTCCCAGATGGTACCTTGTGTTCAGCCTTCTGCTCCCTTCGCCTAATTTCATTACTTTACACTTTCCTGAGTTGAACTTTAGTAGCCATTTTCTAGACCATTCCTCCAGTTTGTCCAGGTCGTCCTGTAGTCTCTGTCTATCTTCATCTGTCTTGATTCTTCTCATAATTTTTGCATCATCAGCAAACATTGAGAGGAATGAGTCTATACCCTCTGGAAGATCGTTTACATATATTAGAAACAGGATGGGTCCAAGTACAGAGCCCTGTGGGACTCCGCTGGTGACATCTCGCCACTCTGATGTCTCCCCCCTCACAGTTACTCGCTGTTTCCTGTTGTTCTGACAATCCAAGAAAATGCAGTCTGCCCACCTTTCTCTTTCTTGCCTAATTTGTGTTGCTTGGTCATAGAATTCTATTAGGCCTGTGAGGCACGATTTACCATCTCTGAACCCATGTTGGTGGTGCGTTACAAAGTTATTTCCCTCCTGATACTCTACGAGCCTTTTCCTCACGATCTTCTCCATCACCTTGCATGGTATACAAGTTAGGGAAACTGGCCTGTAGTTCAGTGCCTCTTGCCTGTCACCCTTTATGTATATGGGGACTACATTAGCTGTCTTCCAGCTTTTCGGTAGGTCTCCCGTTTCAGTGACCTGTTATACACCATAGAGAGTGGCACACTTAGTGCTTCTGCACCGTCTTTTAGTATCCATGGTGAGATTCTGTCAGGCCCAACAGCCTTTGTCACATCCAGCTCCAATAGATTCCTTTTGACCTCATCACTGGTGAGGTAAAATTCCTCCAAGGTTGCTCGGTTTGCCTCCTCATTTAGTGCAGGGGGCTTCTCCTTGTTCTATTGTGAAGACCTCCTGGAATCTCTTGTTGAGTTCTTCACACACCTCTTTGTCATTCTCTGTGTATCTGTTCTCCCCTTTTCTCAGTTTCATCACTTGTTCCTTCACTGCTGTTTTCCTCCTGATATGGCTGTGGAGCAGCTTTGGTTGGGTCTTAGCTTTACTCGCGATGTCATTTTCAAACTGTCTCTCTGCTTCCCTCCTCACTCTGTGGTACTCATTTCTGGCTCTCTGGTATCTCTCGCTGCTCTCTGGTGTTGTTATTTCTGTAGTTTCTCCATGTTCTTTTACTCAATTGTTTCGCTACTTTACATTCCTGATTGAACCACGGATTCTTCTGTTGCTTTCCATTTTTCACTTTTTGGGCCGGGATAAACCTGTCTGCAGCTTCCTGGCACTTCTGGGTGACATAATCCATCATATCCTGCACAGTCTTCTCTCTGAGTTCTGTTTCCCATGGTATTCCCCTGAGGAAGTTCTTCATCTCATATTTTCCTCCTCGGTAATTTAGTCTTTTCCCTTCTGATCCCATCCTTGGATAGGTTATCCCTACCTCCACCAAGTACTCAAAGGTCAGTACACTGTGGTCACTCATTCCTATGGGGGCTTCAACTTTGACTTCCCTTATTTCTGACTCATTCAGGGTGAATATCAAGTTGAGTCTAGCTGGTTCGTCATTTCCTCTCATTCTTGTGGGTCCCTTGACATGTTGACTCAGAAAGTTCCTTGTTGCCACTTCCAAGAGTTTAGCTCGCCACGTATCTGCACCACCATGTGGGTCCCCATTCTCCCAGTCTATCTTTCCATGGTTGAAATCACCCATGATTAAGAGTCTTGAGCCATTCCTGCAGGTAACTGAAGCTGCTCTCTCTATTATATTAATGGTTGCCATGTTGTTCCTATCAAACTCCTGTCTAGGTCTTCTGTCATTTAGGGGAGGGTTGTAAATGACTGTCACTATTATCTTAGGTCCACCCATTGTCATGGCTTGTGTGTATGTGACTTGTACTTGTGGGTGTAAGAGGATCTCCTGATCTCAGTCCAACATTGTGGCTTGTTGAGCTTGACACTGTTGCTCCTTGTTGGTGTAACATCTGACCTTCTAAAGAAAATATCCGGATCACCATCCTCCAACTTGTTCAGTATTTTGAAGGTTTTAATAAGATCCACCTGTCATGCCTGGTTAATAGTGTTGTTAGCCCTGTGGCCCTCAACCGTTCCTGGTATGAGGGTTGACTTAGCTCTGGAATGATTTCTCTCTTCTTGTATATTGGGACTACATTACCTGTCTTCCAACTTTCTGGTAGTTCTCCTGTTACCAGTGACGTATTATACACCATGTAGAGTGGCAAGCATAGTACTTCTGCTCTCTCTTTTAGTATCTATGATGGAATGTCGACTGGGACCAACAGCCTTTGTCACATCCAGTTCCAGCAGATACTTCCTTAGGAATATGTAATCTCAACTTACATATTCATAATGTAACAACTTACATTAATAACCGAGGAGCTGGTAATCTCACATTCCTCCAGTGGTGCCTGGGTAAACACCTTCATATCAGGGGAACTGCTCCTTGCTCTATTGTGAAGACCTCCTGGAATATCTTGTCGAGTTCCTCACACACCTCCTTGTCATTCTCAGTTAACCTGCCTGCTCTCATTCTCACTGTTATTATCTGTTCCCTCGCTGTGGTTTTGTCTCATGGGGCTGTGGAACAGTTTGGGTTGGTTTTTATTGTGCACCCCATACTCGTCCTGTGGGTGGTAGTTTATTGTGCACCCCATACTCATCCTGTGAGTGGTAGTTTATTGTGCACCCCATACTCGTCCTGTGGGTGGTAGTTTATTGTGCACCCCATACTCATCCTGTGAGTGGTAGTTTATTGTGCACCCCATACTCGTCCTGTGAGTGGGTTTATTGTACACCCCATACTCATCCTGTGAGTGGTAGTTTATTGTGCACCCCATACTCATCCTGTGAGTGGTCCCCATACTCATCCTGTAAGTGGTAGTTTACTGTGCACCCCATACTCATCCTGTGAGTGGTAGTTTATTGTGTACCCCATACTCATCCTGTGAGTGGTAGTTTATTGTGCACCCCATACTCATCCTGTGAGTGGTAGTTTATTGTGCACCCCATACTCATCCTGTGAGTGGTAGTTTATTGTACACCCCATACTCATCCTGTGAGTGGTAGTTTATTGTGTACCCCATACTCATCCTGTGAGCGGTAGTTTATTGTGCACCCCATACTCATCCTGTGAGTGATAGTTTATTGTGTACCCCATACTCATCCTGTGAGTGGTAGTTTATTGTGCACCCCATACTCATCCTGTGAGTGGTAGTTTATTGTGCACCCCATACTCATCCTGTGAGTGGTAGTTTATTGTACACCCCATACTCATCCTGTGAGTGGTAGTTTATTGTGCACCCCATACTCATCCTGTGAGTGGTAGTTTATTGTGCACCCCATATTCATCCTGTGAGTGGTAGTTTATTGTGCACCCCATACTTATCCTGTGAGCGGTAGTTTATTGTGCACCCCATACTCATCCTGTGAGTGGTAGTTTATTGTACACCCCATACTCATCCTGTGAGTGGTAGTTTATTGTGCACCCCATACTCATCCTGTGAGTGGTAGTTTATTGTGCACCCCATACTCATCCTGTAAGCTGTAGTAAACGTCCAGTTACAAGTAGTTTGGGTCAGCCAATTCCGTCCGGCGATCGTTAGTTCTAGGAAACGTCAATTTCGCGGTGCTTTGCATGCATCTAAACCACTGGTGTTTTGAGGTGGTTGGCGCTATGAATGTGGTGGTTAGTGGAGGGCTCTAGGGCCTCTCTTATGGAGGCTCTAGGGCCTCTCTTATGGAGGCTCTAGGGCCTCTCTTATGGAGGCTCTAGGGCCTCTCTTATGGAGGCTCTAGGGCCTCTTATGGTGGCTCTAGGGCCTCTTATGGAGGCTCTAGGGCCTCTTATGGTGGCTCTAGGGCCTCTTATGGAGGCTCTAGGGCCTCTCTTATGGAGGCTCTAGGGCCTCTTATGTAGGCTCTAGGGCCTCTTATGGAGGCTCTAGGGCCTCTTATGGTGGCTCTAGGGCCTCTTATGGAGGCTCTAGGGCCTCTCTTATGGAGGCTCTAGGGCCTCTTATGGAGGCTCTAGGGCCTCTCTTTGATGCTATTCACCCGCCAGAATTGTCTTATTGTCTGTATCCTGTGTGTGTGTGTGTGTGTGTGTGTGTGTGTGTGTGTGTGTGTGTGTGTGTGTGTGTGTGTGGGTGTGTGTGTGTGTGTATATGGGGGGGGGGGTGTCTGCTTGCGGGGGTTGAGGTTTGGCTCTTTGGTCCCGCCTCTCAACTGTCAATCAACTGGTGTACAGGTTCCTGAGCCTATTGGGCTCTATCATATCTACATTATAAACTGTGTATGGAGTCAGCCTCCACCACATCACTGCCTAATGCATTCCACCTGTTAACTACTCTGACACTGAAAAAGTTCTTTCTAACGTCTCTGTGGCTCATGTGGGTACTCAGTCTCCACCTGTGTCCCCATGTTCGTGTCCCACCCGTGCTGAAGATTTTGTGTTTGTCCACCCTGTCAATACCCCTGAGAATTTTGTAGGTGGTGATCATGTCTCCCCCTAACACTTCTGCTTTCCAGGGACGTGAGGATTAGCTCCTGTAGTCTTCCCTCGTAGCTCATACCTCTCAGTTCTGGCACGAGTCTGGTGGCATACCTCCGAATCTTCTCTAACTTTGTCTTGTGTTTATCTAGGTATGGCTTCCAGGCTGGAGCTGCATATTCCAGGATTGGTCTGACATAGGTGGTGTGTGTGTCAGTGTATTTTCACCTAAATGTGCTTACAGTTCGAGACGTGTTCGAATGTCGTCAACAAAGGCCAAAGTCATTAATCCAGCCGCCAAACCCCCTGTTTATAAATGCAAATCTGTTTACACACGACTCACAACTGATGACGTTCGAACACTTCCGGAACAAGTGCTTCACTGACGACTTGTGTTCGAACCACAACGCTGTAAATGCTTCACCCACGTACTATAAATACAAATAATCGCCAACAGAACCTAAACACCTAACCTAACCTATGCCTATATATGCACAATATGTTAATATATTATAATAATTTATATTTGAGAAAATTCCGGTTTTGAATGAACAGCAAGTTAAAATTTATGAATGTGTCTGTGGGGTCGACCGCTGGATGGAATGGACTTGAGTCGAGGACGGGTTGGTATATACAGGCCGTCCTCACGTGCAAATATCCAAGCTCGTTAATACAGCCGCCAAACACCCTGATTATGATTGATAAGCTGTTTGCACACGACTCATGACGTCCGAACACTTCCTCCTTCCCAGTATGAACAAGATTACTTCTCCTTCGTTTCCCAGTATGAGCTTGATTGATTTTTTTCCGCAGTATGAACCAGATTTCTTTATTTCCTTCCCCAGTATGAACAAGGGTGAGAGGAACGGTCTGGGTGGGGCGTGTGGGTGGAGGAGTGGGCCGGACCCCGCCCACCACGCCCACTTCCTGAGGGCGGCCCTCGACCTCCTGGTGAACAAGGCCGTCTTCCAGGCCACCAACAGGTCTTCCAAGGTCAGCTGTTCTTCATCTCCTCCCATGAACAAAATGTTCTTGCCCACAGAACAAAACAAAAAGATGTTCTGCTATTTTTTTTACAGCAGTTGTTCTTAAATACGTGATATTCCTATGTAAACATCTGTTATTCTTACATAAACATCTGTTATTCTTAAATAAACATGTGTTATTCTTCCATAAACATCTGTTATTCTTACATAAACATCTGTTATTCTTACATAAACATCTGTTATTCTTACATAAAAAGTTGAAAAACTTATCTACAAACAGCTCTACTCCTATCTCGTAAAATTCGACGTTCTTAGCCCCTGTCAGTTTGGCTTCCGCTCTCAAAAGAGTACCAACGATGCAATTATTAGTCTCCTTGATATAATTTACTCAGCCCTTGACAAAAATGAGTTTCCAATTGGACTCTTCATTGACCTGAGAAAGGCCTTTGATACTGTTAATCACGATTACCTCTTAAGTAAACTCCATCATTATGGAATCCGAGGCCATGCACTGGACTATATCCAATCCTATCTTAGTGATAGACACCAATGTGTAGCCATCAATAATATAATCTCTCCCATTCTACCAATAACCGTTGGAGTGCCACAGGGCAGCATCTTGGGACCTCTTCTTTTTCTTATATACATTAATGATCTGCCTAATGTCTCTAACATTCTGAAACCTATTTTGTTTGCTGATGATACTACCCTCATCTACTCCAACCCCAACCCACATACACTAAATGGTGTTGTTAATAATGAACTAAAAAAAGTCCACTTATGGATGTCAACCAACAAACTAACACTTAACACAGAAAAGACCTACTACATCTTATTCGGAAGCAAATCTACAAATGCAATTCAGCTTCAGATTGACAATGTAAACATTAGTAATAAAAATGATGGAAAGTTTCTTGGCATATTCCTAGACAAGAGACTCAACTTCAGTACCCACATACAACACATAACTAAGAAAGTCTCTAAAACAGTTGGTATACTCTCCAAAATCAGATATTATGTTCCTAACTCTGCTCTCCTCTCACTATATTATGCACTAATCTATCCCTATCTCAACTATGGTATCTGTGCATGGGGTTCAACCACTGCAAACCACCTCAAGTCCATCATCACCCAGCAAAAATCTGCTATCAGAATAATAACAAATTCTGCTTTCAGACAACACTCAGCTCCCTTGTTTAACTCCCTAAACTTGTTAAATATTAACTCCCTCCACACATTCTCTTGTGTCAACTACATTTACAAAACCCTGTTCTTAAATGCAAACCATGCTCTGAAACTCTCCCTGGACAGATGTAATAGGACCCATTATCACCACACCAGAAATAAATATCTCTTTGATATCCCCAGAGTTAAACTTAATCTGTGTAAACACTCTATGCAAATAAAGGGACCCAGTTTATGGAACTCTCTCCCTACTACAATACAATACAATACAATTTTATTTAGGTAAGGTACATACATACAATAAATATTTACAAGGATTGTTTGACTTATAGGTAGAGCTAGTACATACAATGCCTAAAGCCACTATTACGCAAAGCGTTTCGGGCATACTGAATTGAAAAGCTGTCCAACTTTTACATCATTCAAAAACAATACTAAAAAGTACATAATTTCATCTTCATAGTTTTTTACCTTTTGCTCTAAAATTGCACTGTATCTATTGCTACCCAATCTCCCAACCTTTATGTTCCCAATTTGAACATCTTTACCATTGTGATCATTGCTGTCTTCTTATATGTGCTGCCAATCTATTGTATGGTGTTTATAAATCTTGTTTATCTGTATCTTTTGCTACCCAGTCTCCCAATCTTTATGTACCCAATCTGAACATCTTTACCATTGTGATCATTGCTGTCTTATATGTGCTGTCAATCTGCTGTATGGTGTCTATTAATCTTGTTTAAATTACTAATCAAGCTGTCAATGTAATCAATCAGAGCTTTAATATAACAATGTGCTTTAATATACTTACTTATCTCTCTCATCTCATTTTTCTCTTGCAATGTATCTTTATCATTTATCAATTCTGATTGAAATTACCTACTTAAAATTATCTGTTAGATTAAGGACCTGCCCGAAACGCTGCGCGTACTAGTGGCTTTACAAGAATGTAAATACTGTACTATCCAATGTATTCTCACAAACCCAATGTACCTTCTTGTATATATATAAATAAATAAATAAATAAAGTGGTGTTCATAACACCTCCCCCCCCTACACGGGGGAGGAGAGAGGGGAGGGGAGGGGGCCATGAGGAACAGGAATGTTCTACAAGAGATGTTCTCCAACAGGTGGTGGAGTGGGTGGAGCCCGAGGCCCTCAAGGAGCGTCTTGACCTGAGCCTGAAGGAGGAGGGCGTGACCCAGGCTGACCTCTTGGGTCACCTCGGAGATGTTGTCAAGTACAGTGTCAAGACTGGTCACCCGTTCTTCGTCAACCAGCTGTTCTCCAGGTGGGTCAGCGTACAGTGACGGGGCTGAGGAGCTGAAGCTCAACCTTCCATCTGGCAGACAGGATGGTGGCGGCGCATGCACGCACGCACGTTAAGTCCTCGTCCCTGGGGTGATTAAGGGAGCTTAATTAAGTTACAATAGCCGAGAGTGAAGTCTGGGTGCTTGTTGTGGGTGGTTCTGCTCTCTGTCTGTCTGCTTTCTGTCTCCCTGTCTGTATGTCTTTCTGTCTCTCTGTCTCTGCCTCTGTCTCTGTCTCTGTCTCTCTCTGCCTCTGTCTCTGTCTCTGTCTCTCTCTGTCTCTGTCTCTGTCTCTCTGTCTCTGTCTCTGTCTCTCTGTCTCTGTCTCTGTCTCTCTCTCTCTCTCTCGTATATATGTTTTGTCTCTTTCCCTGCCTGTCTGTCTCTGTATAACTGGTGTGTGTGTGTGTGTGTGTGTGTGTGTTAAGCAATATCCCGCCCCACCTCCTGCTGGCTGAGCGGCAGGAGGTCGACGGGACACATGATTTACCTCCTTCATATCCCCCGTCACAGCCTTGACGTGTACGGCCTGGTTGGTCAGTGGGTCACTGACGCCCTCAACCCTTCTGTCTACACCTACGAAGTCGCTCCAGTCTTCACCCTTATGGAGATAGAGGTCAGTGGTAATCATATTATTATAGTTTATCATAGTTATGGCTGCGCTACTGATCGTTTTCCCTTCTTCTCCGCTGTCTCTCCGTTTTCTCTTATCATATATCTTAGTTTCCCATAGTTAGAGCGATGCTACTTATCGTTTTCTTTCTTCTCCTCTCTCTCCGTTTTCTGTTATTATATTTCTTAATTTCTCATAGTTATGGCTATGCTTCTGATCGTTTTCCTTCTTCTCCGCTGTCTCTCCGTTTTCTGTTATTGTATATGAATTCTTTAAGAAAAAATGTATATATGTCTATTTAACTGGATCTATCTCAAGTTTTATGGCTAGCTGGACCCCACTTCCCAGGGGGACTGGTCTCCGGTACAATATGGTCATAAACTAATCGGGGTAGGCCCTACATTAAATTATTTTAAGAAATATTAGTATAGATAGCAAATATTTTAGCACTAAATGCATCCACATGCACTTTTCATGTTGTTAAGTGTGAAATATTCGGCAAAATTTCCCTAGAGTGTTTTGGCGATAGTAGTAATATAGTTTCTGAGAGACCCACACAGTTGCCGTAGAGTATCTGATCGAGGCTTGAGGGGAGGCGATGACCCCCTGGACACCGCCGAGAACCCACTATACCTCGTCCATGTTCTCCTGTGGCATGAGATGACACTCAACTCTCACATTTAAAATGAACGTGCCAACGTTTCGGTCCCTTATGGACCAGTTTCAACTTGATAATGGTCCACGGTGGACTGAAATGTCCCTATTTAGGTTAGGTCCTTCGAGCCGGGTGATAATCCCAAATGTCTGTTTCGGTCCCTTATGGACCAGTTTCAACTTGATAATGGTCCACAATGGACCGAAATGCTCTTATTTAGGTTAGGTCCTTCGAGCCGGGTGATATTCCCAAATGTCCGTTTCGGTCCCTTATGGACCAGTTTCAACTTGATAATGGTCCACGATGGACCGAAATGTCTCTATTTAGGTTAGGTCCTTCGAGCCGGGTGATAATTCCAAATGTCTATTGCTACTGTCACACTCTGTTTTCCACCCTACAGGTACTCTCGGCTATGGCTGGTCACGTTGGGTACAAAGAACATGACGGGCTGTTCGCTCCTGGCGGGTCCATGTCGAACATGTACGGAATGCTTTTGGCACGATATCATCGCTTCCCAGAGGTTAAGGTAGGTACCTTGATCCTAGGGTACACCTCCACACCTGTTGATAGGTCTCAGTAACCCTCCACACCTGTTGAAAGGTCTCAGTAACCCTCCACACCTGTTGAAAGGTCTCAATAACCCTCCACACCTGTTGAAAGGTCTCAGTAACCCTCTACACCTGTTGATAGGTCTCAGTAACCTTCCAAAGGTTTATAGGCCTTAATAACCCTCTCCCCCCACACTAACTACTCCCACCTCCCCAACAGCAACGAGGAACCAGCAGTCTGGGGCTCCTGGTGGCTTTCACATCAATCGACGCCCATTACTCCTTGGTCAAGTCCGCCATGACCCTGGGCCTCGGGGCAGACAACCTGGTCCTTGTCGATGTCGATCACGCTGGCAGGTAGGTCCTCGTCCTCTATTAATTAACATAAGTGTATGAAGTATTTGACTCTTTAACTTTTGACAAACTGTAATGATTTAAAACAAAATCATTGATCATTTGTTGCTTCAAAATGTAAATTATGGCTTTGTCTTAGGTAAATAATTTACAGGAAAGTGTGTAAATTACATTTTTGAAGAGAATGTGTGATAATAATAATAAACTCAACTCACACAAATGAACGTGGCAACATTTCAGTCCCTTATGGACCAGTTTTAACTTGATAATGGTCCACGATGGACCGAAACGTCCCTATTTAGGTTAGGTCCTTCGAGCCGGGTGATAATCCCAAATGTCTATTGCTGCTGCCAACTTATATACATATATGTTCTGTTTAATTATTTAGTAAGTCCTTAGAAGTCTGAACACTAGTTGAAAGAGTTAAGTCGGGGTCAGGGAGGCGAAGCTCGTCCCCAGAAGGTATAGTTAAGCACTTTCAAGGTTTGAGTGAGCAGCACCTGCATGGACCTCACACCTCGTGAAGTATAGAGAGAGCGTACGCAGAAACGTACTACTACAGTATGGTATTAAAGAGAACTGAGAATGACAGAGAAATACACTTAGCAAAATCCTAGTCTCCGTGGTGTAGTGGTAAGACACTCGCCTGGCGTTCCGCGAGCGCTATGTCATGGGTTCGTATCCTGGCCGGGGAGGATTTACTGGGAGCAATTCCTTAACTGTAGCCTCTGTTTAACGCAACAGTAAAATGTGTACTTGGATGAAAAAAACGATTCTTCGCGGCAGGGGATCGTATTCCAGGGACCATAGGATTAAGGACTTGCCCGAAACGCTACGCGTACTAGTGGCTGTACAAGAATGTAACAACTCTTGTATATATCTCAAAAAAAAAAAAAAAAATCAATGACCCAGATGAGATATGAGGACATCAACTGAGACATACTGAAAGGACTCAATGCAGGAACAGTATTCTAACAAGAGTGAAATGTCAAGGGCACTCGTAAATGTCAAGGGCACTCGTAAATGTCAAGGGCACTCGTAAATGTCAAGGGCACTCGTAAATGTCAAGGGCACTCGTAAATGTCAAGGGCACTCGTAAATGTCAAGGGCACTCGTAAATGTCAAGGGCACTCGTAAATGTCAAGGGCACTCGTAAATGTCAAGGGCACTCGTAAATGTTAAGGGCACTCGTAAAACAATGAAAAGACTGAAAACAAAACTTAAGACTTTCCTTTACCAACAAATAGGTATATAATAACCCACAAAGCACCTTAACAGTCCCTGATGCCAGCCCTTACCCCACTTCTGATGTTACTTGTAAAACATTAGCACCTTAACAGTCCCTGATGCCAGCCCTTACCCCACTTCTGATGTTACTTGTAAAACATTAGCACCTTAACAGTCCCTGATGCCAGCCCTTACCCCACTTCTGATGTTACTTGTAAAACATTAGAGGGAATGGTTCCAAATGTGTACTCAGAAATAATTCCTTGTGAGAACGGGAGACATGGCAGGAAGTGCAAAAGCAAAGGTGCAATAGATACAGCTGAGACAGAATACCATCAACATTAAGGGCCCAAGAATGTTCAAGACTCCCTCCGAACATAGTTAAAAAGAGACATAATTACCTCATCTCTCATGGTGTTCAAAAGAGAACTTGATAAACACATTCAAAGCCTATATGATCAACTGGGCTGCGACTCACACACCAGAATGCAAGCAGCACCACCTAACAACCTGGTTGAGCAGCCAGGAGGCCCTCCCCACGCACCACAACACAGTACTAACAATGTTTCTCTCTCTCCCCCACCTTACAGGATGAGTGTTCAACACCTGAAGGAGTGCATCACCAAGGCCAGGAAGGAAGGTGCTACGCCCTTCATGGTGTGTGCTACTGCAGGTGAGTCTGGTCCTTGTGAGCCAGGTCCTCCCCCTTGTGAGCCAGGTCCTCCCCCTTGTGAGCCAGGTCCTCCCCCTTGTGAGCCAGGTCCTTCCCCTTGTGAGCCAGGTCCTCCCCCCTTGTGAGCCAGGTCCTCCCCCCTTGTGAGCCAGGTCCTCCCCCCTTGTGAGCCAGGTCCTCCCCCCTTGTGAGCCAGGTCCTCCCCCCTTGTGAGCCAGGTCCTCCCCCCTTGTGAGCCAGGTCCTCCCCCTTGTGAGCCAGGTCCTCCCCTTGTGAGCCAGGTCCTCCCCCCTTGTGAGCCAGGTCCTCCCCCCCTTGTGAGCCAGGTCCTCCCCCCCTTGTGAGCCAGGTCCTCCCCCCTTGTGAGCCAGGTCCTCCCCCTTGTGAGCCAGGTCCTTCCCCTTGTGAGCCAGGTCCTCCCCCTTGTGAGCCAGGTCCTTCCCCTTGTGAGCCAGGTCCTCCCCCCTTGTGAGCCAGGTCCTCCCCCTTGTGAGTCAGGTCCTCCCCCTTGTGAGCCAGGTCCTTCCCCTTGTGAGCCAGGTCCTTCCCATTGTGAGCCAGGTCCTCCCCTCTTGTGAGCCAGGTCCTTCCCCTTGTGAGCCAGGTCCTTCCCCTTGTGAGCCAGGTCCTCCCCCTTGTGAGCCAGGTCCTCCCCCTTGTGAGCCAGGTCTTTCCCCTTGTGAGCCAGGTCCTCCCCCCTTGTGAGCCAGGTCCTCCCCCCTTGTGAGCCAGGTCCTCCCCCTTGTGAGCCAGGTCCTCCCCCTTGTGAGCCAGGTCCTCCCCCTTGTGAGCCAGGTCCTCCCCCCTTGTGAGCCAGGTCCTCCCCCTTGTGAGCCAGGTCCTCCCCCCTTGTGAGTCAGGTCATTCCCCATCATGCATTTAACCTCTTCTAACCTTTCAAATAACTCTATCATCTCTTTTGACCTCGTGTGACCTCTGGAGACGCCATTGACGTGACCTCTTGTAACCTCTGGTGCCCTTCAGGAACAACGGTGCTGGGGGCATACGACCCCGTCGACGCCGTAGCGGACGTGTGCCAAGCTGAGGGCATCTGGCTACACGTTGACGCTGCCTGGGGCGGCGGCGCCCTCCTCTCCCCCAGACACAGCCATAAACTTAAGGGCATTCACAGGTAGGTCCACGGGGCTACAGGTCCACAGGGCTACAGGTCCACAGGGGCTACAGGTCCACAGGGGGCTACAGGTCCACAGGGGCTACAGGTTCACAGGGCTACAGGTCCACAGGGGGCTACAGGTCCACAGGGGCTACAGGTCCACAGGGGCTACAGGTCCACAGGGGCTACAGGTCCACAGGGGCTACAGGGGCTACAGGTCCACAGGGGCTACAGGTCCACAGGGGCTACAGGTCCACAGGGGCTACAGGTCCACAGGGCTACAGGGGCTACAGGTCCACAGGGGCTACAGGGGCTACAGGTCCACAGGGGCTACAGGTCCACAGGACTACAGGGGCTACAGGTCCACAGGGCTACAGGTCCACAGGGCTACAGGTCCACAGGGCTACAGGTCCACAGGGCTACAGGTCCACAGGGGCTACAGGTCCACAGGGGCTACAGGGGCTACAGGTCCACAGGTCTACAGGTCCACAGGTCTACAGGTCCACAGGGGCTACAGGGGCTACAGGTCCACAGGGGCTACAGGGGCTACAGGTCCACAGGGGCTACAGGTCCACAGGGGCTACAGGGGCTACAGGTCCACAGGGGCTACAGGGGCTACAGGTCCACAGGGCTACAGGTCCACAGGGGCTACAGGTCCACAGGGGCTACAGGGGCTACAGGTCCACAGGGGCTACAGGTCCACAGGGGCTACAGGTCCACAGGTCTACAGGTCCACAGGGGCTACAGGTCCACAGGGCTACAGGTCCACAGGGGCTACAGGGGCTACAGGTCCACAGGGGCTACAGGTCCACAGGGGCTACAGGGGCTACAGGTCCACAGGGGCTACAGGGGCTACAGGTCCACAGGGCTACAGGTCCACAGGGGCTACAGGGGCTACAGGTCCACAGGGGCTACAGGTCCACAGGGCTACAGGGGCTACAGGTCCACAGGGCTACAGGTCCACAGGGCTACAGGTCCACAGGGCTACAGGTCCACAGGGCTACAGGTCCACAGGGCTACAGGTCCACAGGGGCTACAGGTCCACAGGTCCACAGGGCTACAGGGGCTACAGGGGCTACAGGTCCACAGGGGCTACAGGTCCACAGGGGCTACAGGTCCACAGGGGCTACAGGGGCTACAGGTCCACAGGGGCTACAGGTCCACAGGGGCTACGGGTCCACAGGGGCTACAGGTCCACAGGGGCTACAGGGGCTACAGGTCCACAGGGGCTACAGGTCCACAGGGGCTACAGGTCCACAGGGGCTACAGGTCCACAGGGGCTACAGGGGCTACAGGTCCACAGGGGCTACAGGTCCACAGGGGCTACAGGTCCACAGGGGCTACAGGTCCACAGGGGCTACAGGGGCTACAGGTCCACAGGGGCTACAGGTCCACAGGGGCTACAGGTCCACAGGGGCTACAGGTCCACAGGTCCACAGGGCTACAGGGGCTACAGGTCTACAGGGGCTACAAGGGCTACAGGTCCACAGGGGCTACAGGGGCTACAGGTCCACAGGGGCTACAGGTCCACAGGGCTACAGGTCCACAGGGGCTACAGGTCCACAGGGGCTACAGGTCCACAGGGGCTACAGGGGCTACAGGTCCACAGGGGCTACAGGTCCACAGGGGCTACAGGTCCACAGGGGCTACAGGTCCACAGGGGCTACAGGTCCACAGGGGCTACAGGTCCACAGGGCTACAGGTCCACAGGGGCTACAGGTCCACAGGGGCTACAGGTCCACAGGGCTACAGGTCCACAGGGCTACAGGTCAACAGGGGCTACAGGTCCACAGGGGCTACAGGTCCACAGGGGCTACAGGTCCACAGGGGCTACAGGGGCTACAGGTCCACAGGGCTACAGGGGCTACAGGTCCACAGGGGCTACAGGTCCACAGGGGCTACAGGTCCACAGGGGCTACAGGTCCACAGGGGCTACAGGGGCTACAGGTCCACAGGGCTACAGGTCCACAGGGGCTACAGGGGCTACAGGTCCACAGAGTATATGTGAAGTTTATGTAAGGAATTTACACCATTAATAATATAATTAATAATATAGTTATGTTAAGTCACAGAATAGTTATTAACCCCTTGCATTACGAAGTTATAATAATGCTATTTATTTACTTATTGTATTTATTTGTATATATTTATTATTTATCTACATTGAAGAAGATGGAGTGGTTGAGAGAGTCCATAACACTGTTGTTCTTACACTCTTGTGAAGACTGACGGGGCGTTTTCATAAATGGGGCCTGACGGCTGAGTGGACAGCACTCGGTATTCCTAGTCCTGAGGTTCCGGGTTTGATCCCCGGCGGAGGCGGAAACAAACGGGCAGAGTTTCTTTCACCCTGATGCACTTGTTACCTAGCTGTAAATAGGTACCTGGGAGTTAGTCAGCAGCTACGGGCTGCTTCCTGGGAGTGTGTAACAAAAAGGAGATCTGGTCGAGGACTGGGCCGCGGGGACGCTGAGCCCCGAAATCATCTCAAGATAAGCCGCTAACCCACGCATAGCGTTTCATGCAGTTTCATTCCATTTAGCTGGACTCTAGGAGACTCGAACTGTGAACCCCACGTGTGTGTGACCGAAGCTCCATCGACCGAGCTATTGAGTAGCCCTAATAAGAAGTAGTCTTATTTCTGGCAGTTTGTTAATGGCGTTAATCCTGCCAAATAATACTCATGGAGTGTTGATTTGTCTCCAGGGCGGACAGTGTGACCTGGAACCCCCACAAGCTGCTGGCGTGTCCTCAACAGTGTTCCGTCTTCCTGACTCGTCATGTTGGTCTACTGAAGGACTGTAACTCTGCCAGTGCAGCCTATTTGTTTCAGAAGGTGAGCTGTGGCAAGGGAGGTGTGGGGGGGGGGAGTATTCTATGTAAACAATTCCTTGGTTAAAGGGGATGAATTAACCCCTTATGCTGTCCCACTTGCTGCCCCTGATATCCTGCTGTGCTCAAATATCTATCTGTGACTTCCTCCCGTGCTCAAATCTCTATGATTTCCTCCTGTTGTCAAATCTCTATCTCTGATTCCCTCCTGTGCTCAAATATCTATCTTTGAATCCCTCCTGTGCTCAAATATCTATCTTTGAATCCCTCCTGTGCTCAAATATCTATCTTTGAATCCCTCCTGTGGTTAATCTATCTATCTTTGAATCCCTCCTGTGCTCAAATATCTATCTTTGAATCCCTCCTGTGCTCAAATATCTATCTTTGAATCCCTCCTGTGCTCAAATATCTATCTCTGAATTCCTCCAATACTCAAATCTCTATCTCTGACTCCCTCCTGTGCTCAAATCTCTATCTCTGACTCCCTCCTGTGGTCAAATCACCATATATGATTGATCCCTATATGGGGTGGCAATATAGTGTAATTTTTGTCGTGCTCCTCTTGTATTAGGGACCTTTATTGTTATATGAAATAAAACCTTAATTTTTTTACTTCTGTTATAAAACATTTATCTTTAAATAAAAAGACATCTAATGCAAGGTCTCAAACTTGGGTAACTTTTTTTGTGTTTTTCTCTACTGTGCCTCTGTAACCTGACATTTTTCTCTACTGTGCTACTGTAACCTGACATTTTTCTCTACTGTGCTACTGTAACCTGACATTTTTCTCTACTGTGCTACTGTAACCTGACATTTTTCTCTACTGTGCCTCTGTAACCTGACATTTTTCTCTACTGTGCCTCTGTAACCTGACATTTTTCTCTACTGTGCCTCTGTAACCTGACATTTTTCTCTACTGTGCCTCTGTAACCTGACATTTTTCTCTACTGTGCCTCTGTAACCTGACATTTTTCTCTACTGTGCCTCTGTAACCTGACATTTTTCTCTACTGTGCCTCTGTAACCTGACATTTTTCTCTACTGTGCCTCTGTAACCAGACATTTTTCTCTACTGTGCCTCTGTAACCTGACATTTTTCTCTACTGTGCTACTGTAACCAGACATTTTTCTGTACTGTGCCTCTGTAACCTGACATTTTTCTGTACTGTGCCTCTGTAACCTGACATTTTTCTCTACTGTGCCTCTGTAACCTGACATTTTTCTCTACTGTGCTACTGTAACCTGACATTTTTCTCTACTGTGCTACTGTAACCTGACATTTTTCTCTACAGTGCCTCTGTAACCTGACATTTTTCTCTACTCTGCTTCTGTAACTTGACATTTCCCCGACTATGCCTCTGTAACTTTACATTCTTCCACTACAAGTAAGCCTACTATTTCTGGTATGCATAGGCCTCCTCCCCTTCCATTTTTTTTTTCCTTCGGCCTCCTCCCTCTCCTAGTTACTCATGACTCAGCTTCCTCGTACTCAGGAGTTAATCTGACTTGGCTCACTCAAAAGTAACCCTTGGCTTCCTCTTGCCTTCCAGGACAAGTTCTACGACACCACCTACGACACCGGAGACAAGCACCTCCAGTGCGGCCGACGGGCGGACGTTCTCAAGTTCTGGACCATGTGGAAGGCCAAGGTGAGGCACCCAGAGACATGTCTGTGTCCACTTGCTTGTGTGGGGGCTTAGCCTCAAGCTCTTGGTTCACGCCGGCCAATATTCTGGTGACTGGTTTACAATTTCCTGAGGTATTAGGTTAAGTCATGACCACATTATATTGGGGGCTGTGCTTGGAGCTTGCCCCTCTACAACTTAGAATATTCAATTTTGTTACTACTGTACTCTCATACTTGAGCAACTAATTTCCGTGTCTGTGGCTCATTTTGGGTACTTATTTTCCACTTGTCCTTTAGTGTTTGTGTATCAAACCAGTCAAATAGTCTGTCCAAGAGTCTGCCTGGTCTATGCTAATAATAATTGTGTGTGTGTTGCTATCTACCCTGTGTGTGTGTTGCTATCTACCCTGTGTGTGTGTTGCTATCTACCCTGGGGCGATAATGGGTTGGAGCTAGGAGAGGGACGATATGTTTTCCACAGTTGTCTTTATTATCATGTTCTTAATTTACTCTAGTGAGGATGTAAACAATTCTTTTATCCTTCCTTGTTGGGTACTGTGTTTAAGGTTTCTCTGACTGTTCAAAAATATGGGCGTGACTGCCCTCTGTCTTGTCTAATCAGAGACAACTTTGTTTGGTCATAGAATTATATTAAGTGTGTGTGAAGCCAGATTGTTTGGTCATAGAATTATATTAAGTGTGTGTGAAGCCAGATTGTTTGGTCATAGAATTATATTAAGTGTGTGTGAAGCCAAATTGTTTGATCATAGAATTATATTAAGTGTGTGTGTGAAGCCAGATTTGCCAGATCTGAACCCATCTGTTTTAACTATCTCTAATTCTCTGTAACACACACCCTCTCTCCATCAATTATGGTCTCCATTCACTAATCTTTTCTCTCTCTGCCTCTCAAGGGCACTAAAGGGCTGGAACAGCACATCGATCAACTGTTTGAGATGTCGCAGCTGTTCGCTGATAAGATCAGAACAAGACAAGGCTTCAGGCTGGTGATGGAACCAGAATGCACCAACGTCTGTTTCTGGTATGAGCCGACGTCTCTCCGCGGTAAGAGAAGACACCCTCAATATAAACAGCTTCTCAATGCTGTAAGTATGTGTATGGATGTGCTTGGGAAAGTTTGTATCAATAGCATTGTGTATCAATCAAGATATCAATAACATATCTGAATTATGTGTTTAGATCTCTCTGTTTTCTAAAGGTTGCCTTTACAAAATATATGTCAGGAAATATAGGCATGAAGAACAGCACATAAAAACATTAACTAAAAGTTCACACATGCAGCTGCTCTTGGGCCCATAACACAGCTCCAGGGAAAGACAAACACAAACAAAAAATAAACCAAATAAAAATATTTAAGCTCATAAATGCAAAGACAAAGACATACAGATCCATATATATATATATATATATATATATATATATATATATATATATATATATATATATATATATATATATATATATATATATATATATATGTCGTACCTAGTAGCCAGAACTCACTTCTCAGCCTACTATGCAAGGCCCGATTTGCCTAATAAGCCAAGTTTTCATGAATTAATGTTTTTTCGTCTACCTAACCTACCTAACCTAACCTAACCTAACCTAGCTTTTTTTGGCTACCTAACCTAACCTTACTTATATATATAGGTTAGGTTAGGTTAGGTAGGGTTGGTTAGGTTCGGTCATATATCTACGTTATATACATAGATATATGACCGAACACAAACTGTGTCGGTTTGTGTCTACATAGACACAAACTCATGACATATAAAAGCACACACACTTACATCCAAACATTATATCGGCTTTGCCCTTCCAAAGATACAATTTCGAGAAGGTATATATATATATACACTGTATATGTTTCTCCCTCAAAATCTCTTGTATATCTGTTCCACTACTTTCCTTTTTCCTTGCCCATCATTTAGACTGGTCAGCAGATTGACGGCCCCACTACTTGCATGGTTGGCGTTCCATCCCCAACTGTCCACATGATTGGATACCTTTCCTCATATCTTGGTCTCTTTTGTTCCTCGTATCATTTCCAAGTGTTATATAGTCGTATACTGACGTAGTCCTTTCTCATAATTATCTCATCTTATCAATCAGTCATATTTAACTGAATTTACCTGAGGGCCACTAATACTAGTTGCCTCGATGGGGGACAAGAAGCTTGTCAAAGGTCCCCCATTTGTAGAGTCCCCCCTATATTTAGAGATAAAATAAAGGGTAAAAGGTTAGAGATAGAGAGGTTCAATTGTAACTACAGACAAAAGATACAAGTTCCTCTTCAATTGCAACTAACTATTCCTTTTGGCCTTGCAGGTGGCTCCCCGGATTAAGGAGCGGATGGTCAAGTCTGGTTCTATGATGGTCACCTACCAGCCCTTGAGGGAGAGACCTAACTTCTTCCGGCTGGTGCTTCAGAACTCCCAGGTGGACCAATCCGATGTGGATTACTTCGTTCACCAGTTCGAGGAACTTGGGAAGGACTTGTAATAACGTCATTAACTGAAATCTAATTCTGGGCAGATGAAGAGGTCTTTCTTGGAAGTGATCCTTAAGGGTGGCATCTAAAGCTCTTGGAAACTATTAATGAAGACATGTGGTTGTTCTTGGAAGTGATCCAACACAACATTTAGCCACTGTTCACTTGACAGTGAACTTTAGTCATTTTACTGTTCACTTGACAGTGAACTTTAGCCATTTTACTGTCCACTTGACAGTTAACTTTTGAAGCATTGTCCATAGTCTCTTTAAACCATATTATGTTACCTCACAACAATGTTTAGCATCCTTTGGAACAATCTTCAAGAACAAAATACACTTGACTAAATATATCAAAAACTCAAGAAAACTTATCTATTTGTAAAAAAAAAATGTCAAAAATATTTTTCTACAAAAATCAAAATTGTTGTAGTTTATTTAATATTTTTGTTACAACGGTATTATGTTTAGAATGTTGAAGTTTAACATTATATATAATATGTAGATATATTTATATTACGTGTATCTCAAAAAACGTATATGGGTACAGATGCAATATAATTGTAATAACAGCGGCATTTTGCTACAAAACAAAGTATATTGCTTAGTATTAATACTGTACTGCATTTTAATACGTAATTGTTTTTACAAAATATCAAGTTTTTTATTTGACTAAAAGGAAAGTTTGTTATTTACTGTGACTTGTTCACAAATACTTTCTGTGTATAACATGGATTATTAAGGATTCTTTTATATTTAAATTGTCTAAAACTGAGAACATAACTCAGAAATCATAACGAACAAAACAATCAAATCAAAATAGTGTTTAACAAAATTTACAACAATCATTACATTCGATACATTACCTTGCGACACAACGTAATCTGTGTATTCGACTCAAACATTTGATCTTAATCTTACCAAGTGCTGTTGGGTCGTTGGGGATATAGCCTGAGCTACCAATGACTTTTGTAAAGTCACGGTGGTCAAGTGATTAAGAAACCAGGTACGTCATGGTGCATAGGGCTCCTGGCTGTCTGGGTTCGAATCCTTCTGGGGTGTGGAGTTTTCAGTTGCATATTGGCTTGGGGGGACCATTCAAGCGTGTTCGCATTTGATCTTAATATTTACCGGGATTTACCTGAAGGTCACCAACCATCTCACATGTGGCCTTGATGAGGACAGGAAGCAGTTTTTTTCTTTTAAATGTCCCCTGCCTCCTCCCCCTTCATTTATACCTGCTTGATGGGGTTCTGAAAGTTGTTCTACTCCCCCAAGCCCAGCCCGAGGCCATGGTTGACTTAAGAGTTGGTCCACTAGGCTGTTGCTTGCAGCGGCCCGCAAGCCCACATATCCACCACAGCCCAGTTGGTCCGGCACTCCTTGGAGAAATCTAGTTTTCTCTTGAAGATGTCCACGGTTGTTCCGGCAATATTTCTTATTCATGCTGGGAGGATGTTTAACATCAGAGATCCAACAACCGCGGACCTCTGATGTTTATACAGTGTTCTCTGATTGTGCCTATGGCACCCCGGCTCTTCACTGATTCTATTTTGCATTTTCTTCCATATCGTTCACTCCAGTATGTTGCTATTTTACTGTGTTGATTTAAGACCTGGCCCTCCTGTATTTTCCACATGTATATTATTTGATATATCTCTCATCTCCTTTCTAGTGAGTACATTTTGTACTCCTGATGTTATCAAACTGGATCTTGAATTACATGAGTGTTTTGGCATTTACAACTATTGGGGGGGTTTGTGGGGGGGGGGAGGGAAGGATGGAATACTCAAGAAACAAATATTCTTGTAGAATTCTCACTCCTGGAAAGTCATTCCTGGATAACTGTGAAATATGTAACATTTATCTATGCACAATTCCTGGATAAATGTGAAAACAATTCTTGGATAACTCTAAATTTCAATAAAAGTTAAGAGTTTAAAAAATGAATCGCGGAGAAAAAAGTAAAGATGACGATCATGCAAGGTATTTACATTAGTGGAGAGTATAATATTTGTATTTATATATACAAGAGTTCTTATATTCTTGTACAGCCACTAGTATGTGTATCGTTTTGGGCTATGCCCGAAATTTACCGTTGCCTTGCAACAAAAACCCTGTGAGACCTATTGAGGTCGCCAATCCTAGGCCAATCGCCCCTAGGCCAATCTCTGTCCTTCCCCAGAGGAAGCGACCGAGAACAGTGAACTAACTTTTGCATACCTCTTTACTTTTAGGTGACCAGAGGTATCAGGTGTTAGAAAACATGTCCAAAAAAAGTCGTGCCCTGTATGAGTATATATATACAGTACTGTATTAAGATGATTCAGTTGAGAAGCCAAGGCTCACTGAAGATGTTGACATCATAATATTTATATCGTATGTTTGTATAGATGTTTGTACATAAGATGTTTATATCAGAGATGTTAATATCAGATGTTAATACTGAATTAGTTTTATATAAAGTGTGAATACTGTATTAAATTAGATTGACGTTATATATGTTAATATCAGAGATATTTACATAGATGTTTATATAGATGTTTATATCAGAGATGTTTATATTAGAGATGTTTATATTAGAGAAGCTTTATATCGGATATGTTAATATCAGAGATGTTTGTAATTTTCTGTAAGAGTTTAAAGTTTATGTATACAGTAATTTTATATGCAGTATTATTTACATTATAATCATTTTACCATCATGGTACTGCGGTGGTCACAGTGCCATGACCACCGCACCAATGATCGTCTATCATTGGTGCGGTGGTTACGGTACTGTGTACGTTTAGGGGTGATCCTGGACAGCATGGGTTCGAATCCTGGCCGGGTCAAAGAGTTCTTTGACCCGGCCAGGTACGACATATATATATATAATATATATATATATATGTCGTACCTAGTAGCCAGAACGCACTTCTCAGCCTACAATGCAAGGCCCGATTTGCCTAATATATACATATATATATATATATATATATATATATATATATATATATATATATATATATATATATATATATATATATATATATATATATATATATATATATATATATATATCTATATATATCCAGATTTGACAAATTAGAGAAGCCTGAACGCATTTTCGGCTCAATTTGCCTTCATCAGGGCAAGATAGACAGTGACACGCTATCTTGCACTGATAAAGGTGAATTGCCACTCAAAGCCTAAATCCTGAGTACCTATTTACTGCAAGCAGAATAGCAGCATCAGGTGTAAGGAAATGTTCACAAATGTCTAGGCCTGAATGGCAAATAAACTCGGACTCGGTTGTGATCAAAACTTTTACAACACAATTTCGAGGAGAAGAAAAGCTGCCACACTGTAACATGTTTATTACAGAGACTTGGTTACATCGGCATTAGTATTATTGTGCACCAGCTTATACCAGGCCAACATGAAGCTCACACATTTAGCACCTCTCACAGAATCAATCCACAGGGTATAATACATACGAAAATATGAAACAAGTATAAAGGAACCTCAAGGCAAGCGTTCCCATTTACATAGATCCGAGCAAGGAAGATCTTTACACCCGCCTTGAACTGACCTGTGTAAGAGAAATCTTTTGGGTGTTTTCGGTAACACATCGATGCACAGTTGAACCAAATAATAAATCGGAAGCTTTGGGGGGTGCATCGTGATGTGATGAAGACGATAAAATTAAAGACATTATTCTATAGGGAGGGACTGGATGCCTACATCTTAACAGTATACAAGGCTGGTTTGACTTTTTTAAGGCCATATGCATTGTGTTTGAACCCTCTCGTTATTTTAGTCATCAATGCTTATGCATCATGATTTATCATAAGTTATGTAACTAATAATTATCACTGCTACTGATGCTTGTCAAAAAAAAATATATGTATATATATAATGGGGTTTACTAAATTGGAAAGTAATTTACATGTGTTGAAGGATCTTGCAGCTATCAATGCTGAGTTTATTTACTTACAATTTTACAGCATAACCTATGCACTAAAGTGTTTAAGGCCTATTATTATTTTCTTGTAATTAAAAAATAAAACATTGAGAAAAGCAGCTGTGGACATTCCACAAGCTTAACGAAACAGTAACGAACCTGAACACAAAACATACTATGCTGAATATAAATTAAAATATGGACAGCACATTCAAACCCAGAATGCTGGATGATGAAGTAATAGAGATACTAGAATAACACTCCATATCTGGCAGGATTATATTAATTTTGATGAAATAATTCAAAACCACAATGAGTGAAAATTTGATCGATGAAGAAAATCGCATAGCGATAGAGCGGTGTTTTATATTTACCACACACCAGTGAACTGGTGAGCGATATATTTGTTATAAAGCAAGCTAGGTATATTATCTCGTTATATACAAAAACATAATTCAGTTATAAAGAATAAAAGGACATTTAAGTGTTTTCACGAGCCCCAATTTTGAAGCGCTTAAGAGTCAATTTGCAAACACTGGTAAATGTTTCATGATGATGAAGCATTGGAGTATTTGTGTCTGTCGGTTCAATTTAGGAATCTTCATAAAACACGCCAGTATTTAACAAAACCTCACAAGGCACTTGTAATAGAGCAAATTCCTCTATAAACTATTGCATAACTGTCAAGAATAAATCTATGCAAGAATATACTATAATATATTAAGTTAGGGATTATGCTAGCAAGGCAGCCTCGTGTTCGAAACCCTGTCGCCTCCACCTCCCATGATGCATTAAGCCAGGGAACCGAACACAGCCAACACAAGGTTATTTCTCTACAAATCTACAGTCCAGCCCGAAGTTAGGTCAGAGTTCACTGTAAGACAAATTACAAGCAACAAAAGTATGGTACAGTGGATTGGAAATAATAATAATAATAATAATAATAATAATAATAATAATGAAAAGTCCAAATATCATTCAAACCCTGCAATAACTATGGTGGAGAAACTGATGTTTGGATTACATCCTAGACATTAAACAACTAAGGAGTCAGTGCCACATTGTTGAGTGTGCACCATGGCACTCTTGTGTATGTACTAGGGGCTTTGGGGGAAGTGGAAGTTTGCAGTGACCCACTTAGTGGCTTGTGCCAGCAGCTTAACTGTCATCTTGCATCATGATTTTCAAAATGGCAGAGCTGCAAGGGAAGGTGTGGGCGGAGACGTCCCCTGTGCTCGTGGCAAAAATAACACAATTATTGCTGCGTCATGATGAAACTTAATTAAGTGCATTTTCCACCCCTCGAGCAATAAATATGCATTTTCGACTTCATTAATATAAAGGTTAAGAGTAAACAAGGTCATAACAATGGCAGTGACAACCATATAAAACAATTCAAGAGATATTAAGGCAACATGGTTAGTCTATCTTAATTCCTTAACAACAGTGTCTTCGTCAATAAAAGAAAAATGCATAGACACTCAACTGATCTTAATGCTAATGTACAGAATTTCAGTCTGGGTTTAAAAATAATGCATAACAGTGTGAAAACAAGAGTTAGTCTCGTGAAGGTTCTCTCCTCGTAATGACCCTACGAGCGGGGTAAGTCACCACGTGCCCAGAATAAGCTCTTAGAAAATAAATTTATGTATTTACATTCAATGGACCTCAGGAATAGGACTTGAAATTAGACAGTAATTGATCCTCTACTGCATGAATTCAACATTACCAGAATTAAGATATATGGAGATATTTCAAGGCAATTATTTTAATATAACAAAGTGCCTCATGTACAGTAAATCTTGTGTCATGATATATAAAAGAACATTTATATATATAATAAACTGTCATTACAGGCTTGATCATAGGTGCCATTCTAGAGCGCAGCCACAGTGCCATTCTACAAAGCAAGTGAATAAGTTATAATTGTTTCCATCAAGAGAAGATTAAATTCCGTTCAACAACCGAGAAGGATCTGATCACTTAGCCAAAAAGAAGCTCAAACCCTACCTGCAAGTCAATAGAATCGGACTCTCATTCACAAATGAAACAAAAGCCTGAATTCAATCCACTATCATCTGTGAATGGCACCAGATATTTTGTAGGTCTGTCCCAAATATGCAAGCACAGTTTTCTTGGTATTTAAAAGCTGCAGTACTCTCAAGCATGCAGGTCAGGGGCCCAGCAGGCAGGGAACATTGTTTCACCGTTGAATTGGAGTCGCTGTAATCCAAGTTCAACATTGAGGCAGTGTTAAGTGCCTGGTGGGGTGCGTGAAACACCACTTCAGCTAAGCTTCTGTAATTCAGCACAGTTCTGAGTTCCTTTAATTGTGTGGTGTTTAGCCTTGGTGTTGCTTCAGTTGTAAAGCAAAAGAAATTTATATATATATATATATATATATATATATATATATATATATATATATATATATATATATATATATATATATATATATATATATATATATATATATATATATATATATATATATATATATATATATATATATATATATGAGAGATAGGAATTTAGGCACTTTACAGCAGTGTCACCTTTGTGGTGGATTGTCTTAGCATTTCGTGGTACAGTAATGGCTGAAAGGAAAGCTCTGTTTAATTTCTTGCTAACTTAAAAGTGGCAATGGAGCTGATGAAGGCCATTTGTGGTTTCTGAAGTTAAACTGATTACAGCTTCATGAGTGAAACTTTTTATAAATTGTATAACAAAAAAAATAAACAACTGGGTTATTCATTTTCCTCCTATAGATATACAATCTCAAAAGTTACTTGTAAGGGCCTTTAACATTCAGTTAAGGAGTCAAGATTAAGCTTGGGTTTAGCTTAACAAACCATAACCACAAGAGTAACTATGGCAACACTGCGAGAGGAGTCGTTTACATGAGTTTCTGCTTGGCACACTCTGGGCACAGGATATCCGCCCCATCAGTGATGAAGCCCTTCCCCACCAGGGATCCCTTGCACTCGGCGCAGATGAAGCAGTCGTTGTGCCAGTGCCGGTCTTCGAACGAGATGAAGCGGGTGCCACCGATGCCTGCCAAGGAAATGGGGTTAATGATTTGCGGTAACTTCGCACTAGTGATGCCACCTTCGCCTATTTCTCACTATTGTCTTTGAAATGGAGTATGCTCTACTTTCTCATTTGCGTAATTGCTTGACTGTCACAAGGTTTATCGATGATTTCTGTTTTCCAATTGTTGGGGGAAACAGTAAGCCTGTTAGACTTAGGTTCCTCTTGGCAAACTACCAATGCTAGGTGACTAGAAGCTAAGTGAATAGAGGCATCAGGTAAAAGTAAATGTGTCAAACTCTCTGTCCTGATTAGGGCATTGAATCTGGTTTACCTCTTGAGGTGAGGAACATTTTTTGGATTTAGTACTGATGAATTCTCAATTAAAGAGAAGACAAATAATGTAGAGTACTGTACTTTCCTTTTTTCAATGCCTTTATTATTTGATGTACATATTAAGGATATATACAATTCTCGAGTGGAGTTCATTCCATCAGAATTATTGGCAACCACTGATAACAAAGTACTTTAGTGAGGTTCTGAGCCAACATTGCTATGGCAATTTCCAATCCTCTGGCCTATGAGCAAAATTTGCCACATCTTAAAAAATTAATTAAAAATTGCATTTATTTAAGCACACTCTATTGCAGAATTCCTCCACTAATGGTGCTTGCACACAAACATTTCGCAGCATGCTTGAACCCACCACTTGTGTCATAATATTACTCAACAACATCTATAATCTTCTTTGGTAAATTGTTTCCCTATTTTCTGTTCTAACTTGGAATATACACATCCTATTTATTATGTGCTCACATTTAGGTACATTATACAAAATATATTATATATATCCTAAAAAAAATATTAAGATTATTATTACATAGTTCTAACCATTTTTTATACTAGAAGAACATGCAATTTGACTGGGTACAGGTAAGGTAATCATCAGAAGAAAGCACTATGCAAGTATGACTGGTTCTATAACTTTACATTAATTATATGTGCACTGAAAGCTATCCTGCCACTCACCAGTGATGGGCTTGGTGCACGCAGTACAACGTTTCGCAAACAGTTCGCCGAAGCAGTCCGCACAATAAGGCTTGTCATCCCTGGAGGTGAAGCGCTGGCCGGCCAGGGAAGCATTGCAGTTGGTGCAAGTGAAGCACTCTCGGTGCCATGGGTCGTTCTTGTAGGTCACACCCCCGGAGGTGATGATCTGAAAGTGGTCGAAAGTACAGGTTAGTGGTAATCATCGTGATACATAGACACAGCCAGTTAGTCTTTGTGGCGAATGTTTGGCAACATGTAGTGGTTATACTGGTTAATGTATGGCAATACATAGTGATCATACTGATCAATATATTTATTTATTTATTTATATATATACAAGAAGGTACATTGGGTTTGTGAGGGTACATAGCATGATGTGTTTACATTCTTGTAAAGCCACTAGTACGCACAGCATTTCGGGCAAGTCCTTAATCTAACAGATAATATAAAGTAGTTAAATTCTAGCAAAATTTATAAAATGTTAAGAGGTACATTGTAAGAAAAAAATTGAGAGAGATTAGTAGGCATATTAAAGCACACTGATAGCCTTGATTGATAATTTAACAAAGATTATAGACACAATAAGGCATATTGATAGCACATACAAAATGACAGCAATGATCACAATGGTAAAGTTGTATGGCTTAAGTGCATAAATATTGGGGGATTGAGTAGCACTAGATACAGAGCGAGTTTAGGTAGGAAACTATGAAGATGAAATTAGGTACTTTTTTTGTTTTGAATAAGGCAAAAGTTGGACAGCTTTTCAATTCATTAGGGAGTGAGTTTCATAGACTGGGTCCCTTTATTTGCATAAAGTGTTTACACTTTTTAAGTTTGACTCTGGAGATATCAAAGAGATATTTATGCCTGGTGTGGTGAGTATGTATTCTATTACATCTGTCCAGGGAGAGTTTCAGAGCAGGATTTGCATTTAAGAACTCGGATTTGTAAATGTTGATGGCACAAGAGAATGTGTGGAGTGAGTTTAGTTTTAGCATGTTTAGGGATTTAAACAGGGGAACTGTGTGTTGTCTGAAAGCAGAATTTGTTATGGTTCTGATAGCAGATTTTTGCTGGGTGATGATGGACTTGAGGTAGTTTGCAGTGGTTGAACCCCATGCACAGATGCCATAAGTAAGATAGGGATAGATTAGGGCATAATATAGTGAGAGGAGAGCAGAGTTAGGTACATAATATCTGATTTTAGAGAGTATACCAACTGTTTTAGAGACTTTCTTAGTTATGTGTTGTATGTGGGTACTGAAGTTGAGTCTCTAGTCTAGGAATAGGCCGAGAAACTTTCCATCATTTTTATTACTAATGTTAAAATTGTCTATCTGAAGCTGAATTAATTGCATTTGTTGATTTGCTTCCAAATATGATGTAGTAGGTGTTTTCTATATTTAGTGTGAGTTTTTTGGTTGACATCCATAAGTGGACTTTTTTAATTCATTATTCACAACATTATTTAATGTGTGGGGTTAGGGGTCTGAGTAGATGAGGGTAGTATCAGCAAACAATATAAGTTTCAGAATGTTAGAGACATTAGGCAGATCATTGATGTATATAAGAAATAGGAGATGTCCTAGGATGCTGCCCTGTGGCACTCCTATGGTTAATGGTAGAGTGGGAGAGGTTATATCATTGATGGCTACACATTGGTGTCTATCACTAAGATAGGATTGGATATAGTTCAGTGTTGACCCAGTAAACATATTTTGTTGACCCAGGTCAATATTGAAGTCTCCTCCTAGAATGATGTGATTTTGGTTGAGATTGTTGTTTATGATAAGATTCCTTAGGTTATCTGAGAATTAAGCTATATTAGTATTGGGAAATCTACAGATACCTCCGATAGTCAAGGAGGATTTAAGGGATTTATTCGAGAACTGAGAAAAGGTATATTCACAATAGTCTACTCTATCACTAATGACAGTATTGCAGATGAAGGTATCTTGGTAATATATAGCTGTGCCACCTCCTTTTTTTATTAGGCCTGCAGCTGTGAATGGCTTTATAACCAGCTAAGTTATAGAGTTGGCTGTAGTCTTTACTTAGCCAGGTTTCTATTAAAATAATGAATGATAGTTTAGTACCTAGTGCTGTGAGTAGTGCATTTATATCATCAAAATGTTTACCAAGTGATCTAACATTTTGATAGAAAACTGATAAGCAGGTGCTATTTTGGAGTTTGTTTATTGTAAGATTTGTTGGCAACACAGTGATCATACTGGTCTATATATGGCAACACATAGTGGTCATACTGGTCAATATACTGGAGGCCTGGTCGACGACCGGGCCGTGGGGACGCTAAGCCCCAGAAGCACCTCAAGGTAAGGTAAGGTATATATGGCAACACATAGTGGTCATACTGGTCAATATATGGCAACACAGTGATCATACTGGTCTATATATGGCAACACAGTGATCATACTGGTCAATATATGGCAACACAGTGATCATACTGGTCTATATATGGCAACACAGTGATCATACTGGTCAATATATGGCAACACAGTGATCATACTGGTCTATATATGGCAACACAGTGATCATACTGGTCTATATATGGCAACACAGTGATCATACTGGTCAATATATGGCAACACAGTGATCATACTGGTCTATATATGGCAACACAGTGATCATACTGGTCTATATATGGCAACACAGTGATCATACTGGTCAATATATGGCAACACAGTGATCATACTGGTCTATATATGGCAACACAGTGATCATACTGGTCAATATATGGCAACACAGTGATCATACTGGTCAATATATGGCAACACAGTGATCATACTGGTCAATATATGGCAACACAGTGATCATACTGGTCTATATATGGCAACACATAGTGGTCATACTGGTCAATATATGGCAACACATAGTGGTCATACTGGTCAATATATGGCAACACAGTGGTCATACTGGTCAATATATGGCAACACAGTGATCATACTGGTCTATATATGGCAACACAGTGATCATACTGGTCTATATATGGCAACACAGTGATCATACTGGTCAATATATGGCAACACAGTGATCATACTGGTCTATATATGGCAACACAGTGATCATACTGGTCAATATATGGCAACACAGTGATCATACTGGTCAATATATGGCAACACAGTGATCATACTGGTCAATATATGGCAACACAGTGATCATACTGGTCTATATATGGCAACACAGTGATCATTCTGGTCTATATATGGCAACACAGTGGTCATACTGGTCAATATATGGCAACACAGTGATCATACTGGTCTATATATGGCAACACAGTGATCATACTGGTCAATATATGGCAACACAGTGATCATACTGGTCTATATATGGCAACACATAGTGGTCATACTGGTCAATATATGGCAACATAGTGGTCATACTGGTCAATATATGGCAACACAGTGGTCATACTGGTCAATATATGGCAACACAGTGGTCATACTGGTCAATATATGGCAACACAGTGGTCATACTGGTCAATATATGGCAACACAGTGATCATACTGGTCAATATATGGCAACACAGTGGTCATACTGGTCAATATATGGCAACACATAGTGGTCATACTGGTCAATATATGGCAACACAGTGGTCATACTGGTCAATATATGGCAACACAGTGGTCATACTGGTCAATATATGGCAACACAGTGGTCATACTGGTCAATATATGGCAACACAGTGATCATACTGGTCAATATATGGCAACACAGTGGTCATACTGGTCAATATATGGCAACACATAGTGGTCATACTGGTCAATATATGGCAACACAGTGGTCATACTGGTCAATATATGGCAACACATAGTGGTCATACTGGTCAATATATGGCAACACAGTGATCATACTGGTCAATATATGGCAACACAGTGGTCATACTGGTCAATATATGGCAACACATAGTGGTCATACTGGTCAATATATGGCAACACAGTGGTCATACTGGTCAATATATGGCAACACAGTGGTCATACTGGTCAATATATGGCAACACAGTGGTCATACTGGTCAATATATGGCATTAACTCCACTGAACACAAGATTACCTCCCAATATTCATGAGTCCATGGAATAATTACACTTAACAAATCTCAGATGAACTTTTTTGTAACTTAACCTCAAGATTCTAAAAGCTTATATGAAGATCAAATTGTATTAAGAATATTAAAAAAAAATATACAGGTATATACAAAGACATCTCAAAACTAGTTTGTCCATCTGATAAGCAAGAGATTGGTACTGTGAATGTATTTGTTAACAGATATTGTCCTGGTCTGTATTATATCTGTCTGTTATAGAACAATTACTGTCCGTTAACGGATATTGTTCTGTATTACAAAGTCTAATTTTTTTTTACTTTGATTCAAAACTAACAAAGAAATTTAATTTAACCTAACCTAACATAATTATAACTACGTCGATTATTCATGATCTTAATAATATAAAAGCTTATTATTGTTATAAAAGAACCAATCTGGAAGAAATATTTTAAAATAATAATGGGTATGGGGTCCATTGCCACTCACAGGATGGGTATGGGGGTCCACAACAACCCTCAGGACAGGTATGGGGTCTACAACAACCCACAGAACAGGTATGGGGGTCTACAACAACCCACAGAACAGGTATGGGGGTCTACAACAACCCCACAGAACAGGTATGGGGGTCTACAACAACCCACAGAACAGGTATGGGGGTCTACAACAACCCACAGAACAGGTATGGGGGTCTACAACAACCCACAGAACAGGTATGGGGGTCTACAACAACCCACAGAACAGGTATGGGGGTCTACAACAACCCACAGAACAGGTATGGGGGTCTACAACAACCCACAGAACAGGTATGGGGGTCTACAACAACCCACAGAACAGGTATGGGGGTCTACAACAACCCACAGAACAGGTATGGGGGTCTACAACAACCCACAGAACAGGTATGGGGGTCTACAACAACCCCACAGTACAGGTATGGGGGTCCACAACAACCCACAGGACAGGTATGGGGGTCTACAACAACCCACAGAACAGGTATGGGGGTCTACAACAACCCACAGAACAGGTATGGGGGTCTACAACAACCCCACAGTACAGGTATGGGGGTCCACAACAACCCACAGGACAGGTATGGGGGTCTACAACAACCCACAGAACAGGTATGGGGGTCTACAACAACCCACAGAACAGGTATGGGGGTCTACAACAACCCACAGAACAGGTATGGGGGTCTACAACAACCCCACAGTACAGGTATGGGGGTCCACAACAACCCACAGGACAGGTATGGGGGTCTACAACAACCCACAGAACAGGTATGGGGGTCTACAACAACCCACAGGACAGGTATGGGGGTCTACAACAACCCACAGAACAGGTATGGGGGTCTACAACAACCCCACAGTACAGGTATGGGGGTCCACAACAACCCACAGGACAGGTATGGGGGTCCACAACAACCCACAGGACAGGTATGGGGGTCTACAACAACCCACAGAACAGGTATGGGGGTCCACAACAACCCACAGTACAGGTATGGGGGTCCACAACAACCCCACAGTACAGGTATGGGGGTCCACAACAACCCACAGGACAGGTATGGGGGTCTACAACAACCCACAGAACAGGTATGGGGGTCTACAACAACCCACAGGACAGGTATGGGGGTCTACAACAACCCACAGAACAGGTATGGGGGTCTACAACAACCCACAGAACAGGTATGGGGGTCTACAACAACCCACAGAACAGGTATGGGGGTCCACAACAACCCACAGTACAGGTATGGGGGTCTACAACAACCCCACAGTACAGGTATGGGGGTCCACAACAACCCACAGGACAGGTATGGGAGCCCCACAACTACCCACAGGACAGGTATGGGAGCCCCACAACAACCCACAGGACAGGTATGGGAGCCCCACAACTACCCACAGGACAGGTATGGGAGCCCCACAACTACCCACAAGACAGGTGTGGGAGCCCCCCCCCCCAACAGGACGGATCAAAGGGAACACCCTGAACGCGGCCCAACCCCAACACCCCCACAACCCCTGCTACAACCTTGCTACACTTGACGCATCGCGTGGCAAACTTCTCCTCGTAGCAGGAGGCGCAGTAGATCTCCTGGTCCCTGGGGATGAAGCTCTTGGTGCCGATGGGAGTCTTGCACACGCAACAGCAGAAGCACTTCTCGTGCCACTGACGGGCCTTGTACTCCATCTTCTTGTTGCCTGTCGGGGAGGAAAGGAACCGGTTAGAGTCGCCATGATGTGCTCCGGATAGGAAGAGTCATAATAACGTGATACAAGGACCAACCCCCACATCAGAAGATGACGAGACGAAGACGTTTCGGTCCATCTTGGACCATTATCAAGTCGATTTTCTTGATAATGATCCATTATCACAATCGACTTGATAATGGTCCAAGAGGGACCGAAATGTTGTCGTGTCCTCATATAATGTAACATACTGTATATATATATATTTATGATATAGTTGTTATGTCTAAGAACGTAAATATAATGGGATAATTTTGATTTCGTCTGGTTCCTGTGTCTTGAGAGAGCTGGTTGTCGGTGTGCTTGAAGAACATGAGTTGTGACTTCCTTATCTTGAATAACATGTGTTGCATATGTGATAATACATGTGTGTTGTATATGTGATAATAACATGTGTTGTATATGTGATGTATGTGTTGTATAATGGTTTTTTTTACAGCGTTTGACACATGGTGGCGGGTCAGTGACCCCATGGCGCAGGGGGACCGGATCAGACAGGTGTTACCTCAACACCTGTAGCAGTTTCTGAGGCCACACAGGTGTTTTTTGTTGTTAACTGTCTGTCTGTCTGTCTGTCTGTCTGTCTGTCTGTCTGTCTGTCTGTCTGACTGTCTGTCTGTCTGTCTGTCTGTCTGTCTGTCTGTCTGTCTGTCTGTCTGTCTGTGTCTCTATCTTGTCTGTCTGTCTGTCTGTCTGTCTGTCTGTCTGTCTGTCTGTCTGTCTGTCTGTCTGTCTGTCTGTCTGTCTGTCTATCTGTCTGTCTGTCTGTCTGTCTGTCTGTCTGACTGACTGTCTGTCTGTCTGTCTGTCTGTCTGTCTGTCTGTCTGTCTGTCTGTCTGTCTGTCTGTGTCTCTATCTTGTCTGTCTGTCTGTCTGTCTTTCTGTCTGTCAGTCTGTCTGTCTGTCTGTCTGTCTGTCTGTCTGTCTGTCTGTCTGTCTGTCTGTCTGTCTGTCTGTCTGTCTGTCTGTCTGTCTGTGTCTCTATCTTGTCTGTCTGTCTGTCTGTCTGTCTGTCTGTCTGTCTGTCTGTCTGTCTGTCTGTCTGTCTGTCTGTGTCTCTATCTTGTCTGTCTGTCTGTCTGTCTGTCTGTCTGTCTGTCTGTCTGTCTGTCTGTCTGTCTGTCTGTCTGTATCTCTATGTCTACGGAAGCCGAAAGCGGCTTAATCCTGCCGGTCTGAGAGGGGTGGAGAAGGATTCACTAGGACAGGAGAATCAAAGAGGTTTAGAATAGGATCAAAAGATTTAAAGTTGGATAAATTGGGTTTAGTTGAGGATCAAAGGGTTTAGAGTAGAATCAAACAGTTGAGAGTAGGATCAAATTGTTTAAAAAATAATCAAATCAGATTAGAGTAAGATGAAAGGATTTAGAGAATGATCAAATAGTTTAGAGTACAATCAACGACGTTTAGTGTACATTCAAATGGGTTCAAAGTAGGATCATAGGGGTTAAGATTAGGATCAAAGGGTTTAGAGTATGATCAAAGGGGGGGGGGGTTAAGAGTAGGATTAAAGAATTTAGAACAGGATCAAAAGTGTTTGGATTATAATCAAAGGGTTTAGAACATGATAAAAAGTGTTTAGAGTGGGATCAGAGGATTTAGAACAGGATCAAAAGGTTTAGAGTAGGATCAAAGGGTTTACAATAAGATCAAAAGGGGGTTAAAGTAGGATCAAAGGGGTTTAGAGTAGGACCAAAGCGTTTACAATAGGATCAAAGGGGTTTAGAGTAGGATCAAAGGGTTTACAACAGGATCAAAGGGGTTTAGAGTTGGATCAAAGCGTTTACAATAGGATCAAAGGGGTTTAGAGTAGGATCAAAGGGTTTACAACAGGATCAAAGGGGTTTAGAGTTGGATCAAAGCGTTTACAATAGGATCAAAGGGGTTTAGAGTAGGATCAAAGCGTTTACAATAGGATCAAAGGGGTTTAGAGTTGGATCAAAGGGTTTACAACAGGATCAAAGGGATTTAGAGTATGATCATAGCCTTTACAACAGGATCAAAGGGGTTTAGAGTAGGATCAAAGGGTTTACAACAGGATTAAAGGGGTTTAGAGTAGGATTAAAGGATTTAGAAAATGACCAAAAGGTTTAGAGTAGGATCAAAGGGTTTACAATAAGATCAAATGGGGTTTAAAGTAGGATCAACGGGTTTACAATAAGATCAAATGGGGTTTAAAGTAGGATCAACGGGTTTACAATAAGATCAAATGGGGTTTAGAGTAGGATCAAAGGGTTTACAACAGGATCAAAGGGGTTTAGAGTAGGATCAAGAGCTCAGGGAGTCCATGTGAGGAGATTGTGAGAGTCGATCCTATCCATCGTACACAGACGTGTGCTCCTGTAGGACTCCTGGGAACAGTTAACAGGACACTATTACAAGACAACAGTTAACGCTCCAGCAAATCCAGACGATTTTACGCCCAACGGAGGTCGCTGATTGGTTTCTGGCGAGAGGGGGGGAGATTGGAGCACGCTGATTGGTTCCCTGGCAAGAGGGAGAAGACTGAAGCACGCTGATTGGTTCCCTGGCAAGAGGGAGAAGAATGAACCACGCTGATTGGTTCCCTGGCAAGAGGGAGAAGAATGAAGCACGCTGATTGGTTCCCTGGCAAGAGGGAGAAGAATGAAGCACGCTGATTGGTTCCCTGGCAAGAGGGAGAAGAATGAAGCACGCTGATTGGTTCCCTGACAAGAGGGAGAAGAATGAACCACGCTGATTGGTTCCCTGGCAAGAGGGAGAGAGACGGAGGCCGTTGATTAGCTCCCGCCCAATTTCAAATTCAACGGGGCTGCCGCTGATTGGCTGTCACAGGTCGAGGCTTCAAGTAACGACACTTGTGAAATACTAAAGTGAGAGATATTGACATCTACGGACCTGCCACTCCGTAACATACGCAACTGTTTGGCTTAACCAGACAGCCCGTCCTCCAAAGGTTCCCACAACGTCAAGAAATCGTACTAAAGTGACCTTATCCTAACCTACCAGAGGACCTAAAACAGAAAACGGGACAGGGGCTGTGCTAGATACGTACGGACACAACCAAGAGAGGCCGATGCATTGATGACGTCAATATTCTGGTGCTTTAATTTGAACTAATCCGTTGCTTTTTTAACGTGTTAGATGGGAGGACGTGTGTGTGTGTGTGTGTGTGTGTGTGTGTGTGTGTGTGTGTGTGTGTGTGTGTGTGTGTGTGTGTGTGTGTGTGTGTGTGTGTGTGTGTTAGAGAGAAATATATGTACTAGATATAATAGACGAAAAATAGATTGGTCAGAAAGGCGGGGTCCAAGAGCTAATAGATCAATTCTACAGACACAAATATTAAATACAAATAATAAATACACAGGAACCTGTACACAGCAAGCACAACTAGGTGAGTACCTGTCTATATACACCAAGAAGCTGGGTATATATATCTCAGTGTATATATATACATTAGAAAGGAAAGATACATATCATTAAGTAGTAGACTTTTATCAAATAATTCATAATAATACTAATAAATACATAAATAACATTTAATGCAAAACATTTGCATGTTTCGAATGAAATTTATGCCCAGATGAGGCTTTGAAAACGTATAAATTATCTTCCATAAGAACTTTTAAACACAATTGTCTTATATGAAGACTTAATATTCATACATCCCTGTTGTATGTTTTAAACGAGGAGTTAGTATACATAAATCTGTTAAACGAGGAGTTGGTATACATATACCTATGTTAAATGAAGACTTGATATACATAAACCTGAGTTAAACAACGACTAAGTATACCTAAACCTGTAGTAAACGAGGACTTAGAAACCATAAATATATAACAATTAAACACTTACAAAACAGATATCGCGGATCGAAGCCCATAGTGAGACACATATGTGTCTGTTAGGCCGTCGACGGACTCAACAGCCTCTTTAAACAGACTACTAGAAGCACTTCCCTGGTGAGTGGCACTCCCTAGAGTGCCGCCTGAGTACTTCGCGGGCTTCCTCTTCACGCGAAAACCCGCCAAAAATCTCTTCCTTGTGGAATTTCAAACACGCGGGATGATTCGCGGGCTCCCAGCCGAGGGAAATGGCGGCAAATCTCGACTGTCTTTTGTTCCTATTCGCGCCATATTTCAAAATAAAAATGACCTGAAGAAACTCGCCGCTTCAATTACAGAATAAGTATCATTGTTCTGCTTCACCGCTTCATTGTGTAGTCGGTGATTTTGTCTTAGGGTTACAAGAGCCTCATTGCTACTAAGCAGTTTCTCAAAATATTTGGTATGATTGATCACATTTGCTCAGCGGTTCTACTTATTTGATAATCAAAATATCAATTACACGGTGTTAAAATATTCATCACTGAACTTTCTAAGCACCTAATTCCTTAGTTATTAGCAATAATTTTTTATTATAAATCCCAGTTCATGGTTTTTATCAATAAATAATTTTATTTTTATATACTTTTTGCACAGTTATGAAGCTTTTATAAAAATATATTAAAACATCTAAAGTATAATTGGTTTCTAGCTTTCAAAAAGTATTATTTTAAATTACAAAAAAAACTTTAATCTTTATAATCCAACTATTTTTTTATTTATTAGATTAAATTCATAAATCTTCAGAAATAGTTTCTTGATGCAAACAATTATCACATAAAAATATAAAGTTTACTGGTAAACTTCAAACCCATTTTCTTCAAATAACTTTTATTCCATTTCAATTTCAATTGCGTCTTTCATTTTCTTTGAATCCACCAAATTTTCTTTAACTTTTACTAATTTTAAATCTCCTCCATATTGCTTATAATATTTTCCAGAATGTTCCTTATACTTTCAACGAATGTCTAACACTTCAAGTTACTCTGAAATATATTTATAATCACAAACTGCTCACATATATACACTGAGAGAGAGAGAGAGAGAGAGAGAGAGAGAGAGAGAGAGAGAGAGAGAGAGAGAGAGAG